GGTGTCAAATCCATCCTCCAAGAGGGGCTGCTTTGTGCTCTTCTCGCTAAAATTATTTCCCAGCTTCACCATTTTCTTTTCCTGGACGAAAGGGAGTCCTGGAAAATGCACACGTGCGGAAGCGCAAAGGACGGGTCACAAGAACACTTTGCACCAAAAAATGGCCAGCCTCCCTCCCGATACGAGACCACTTGCCACCTGGGGGGGCACGACCAACCCCACTTTCCTAACATGTCATCCATGGAGGGCTGGGGGGGGGCGGAATGCGCTACTCGATCCCTTCCCGGAGATCCCTTCCTTCCCCGCAATTCGGTGCGCAGCGAGAGAGCCGCTTGCGCGGAGCCTGCTCTGCAAGTTCCAAGGGTGGGAAGGAGGCAGTGTCTGGGGTGGGACCCGTTTCGCCCCTCGGGGTGCCCCCCCCCGCAAGCCCTGGCTTCCCTTTCTTCTCTTCCTCCCTCCGCCCCCGCCCGCCTCCATCCCGGCGCCCCTCCTGGGCTCCCTGCCTCCCTCTCTCCCTGCATCCCTGCATCCTTTCTCCCCATCCGCCTGCCCCTTTGTCCTCTCTGCCCTCCTTCTCCGAGACACAAGGACTGCGAAGGGGTGCCCGCGGCCATGCCACCCCCTCCCCGGGGGCCATGCCACCCTCCCCCGGCTGCAGCCCCTCCTCGCCCCCGGAGCGCGGCTCTGCGCCTCACCTCGCCTCCTGCCTTTGCGGGTGTTCCCTGGCTCGTGGCTCCCCCAAGCCTGGCCTCCTCGGCTTCAGCTCCGGCAGCAATGGCGGAGCCGCACGTCGGGTCTCTCGAGTGTCGCTGGCGAAGGGGAGCGCGCGGCCGAGGGAGCGGCGCCGGGTTCATGGGCGCGCGGCGAGCGGCTCCTTCCTCCGCCTCCTCCGGCGTGACGCAGCCCGCGCGTCGCCGCCTCCCCCCCCCCGGAGCCCCCGGGCGACCCACGCCCCGTGCGCTGGGGCTGCGGCAGAGGCGGGAGGCGCGGGGAGGGCCAGCCGGGGGGCTCCGTCCGAGGGAGGCTTCTGCCGGCTGCGGGGTGGGCGGAGGGAAGCTTGGGCGAGGCAACCGCGGAGCGAGCGGGGCCGGCGGGGCAGGGGCGAGGCGGGCGGCGCCCCCCCCCCCCGCACCACCCGCAGTATTGCTTGCACTGGCTTTTATCTCTCTCGGGTTTATTCCTTGTAGAAACCGTGGGGTGGGGTGGGGGGGCTTACTACTGCGAAAATGTCTCCTGGAAATCCCCCACCCTAAGGCTCCCCCAGGAGAAAACCAGCGCCGCAACCAAACAAAGGGAAGCGGGAAGCCGCCTGCCCAGCGGAAGGGGCTGTGCGGGACCGACCCTCCCGACCCCGGGCCAGGCTCCAGCCACCTCCCCGGAGCCAGGAGCTGCTCGGTGAGCAGCGTGTCGTTTGCAGCCCGGAGCGGCGAGGGCGAGGGCTGCGCGCCCCCCCCCCCGGGCCCCGAGACACTGAGAGCAGAGAAGGGGAGCGATTTGCCTGCAGCCCCAAAGTGGGACAAAGCCCCGCACGAGGCTGGTGGGGCGCTTTGCCTCTTCCTCCTCCACTTCAGATAACTTGGGCCTTGCTCCTTTTAATGCCAACAAGGGGGCCGGGAATCAGCTGCTAGCTTTAGAACTGGCAACAGGGCACCATAAGACTGGGAAGAGCCCGCGGAATCCTAGAATCATGTAGTTGGAAGATACTCCAAGGGTCATGTAGTCCAACCCCTGCAATGCAGGAATCTCAACTCAAGCATCCATGACAGATGGGCATACAACCTCTGCCTAAAAACCTCCATGGAAGGAGGGCCCAACAACTCTGGAGGGAGCCTCTTCCACCATCCAACAGCTCCTGCCATCAGAAGGTTCTTCAGGTTGTTTAGTTGGAATCACCTTCCTTGCAACTTGAAGCCATTGGCTCAGGCTCTATCCCCTGATGCAGCAGGAGAAAACAAGCTTGTTCCCTCTTCCATGTGACAGCCCTTGAGGTATTTGAAGATGTCTTATCTCCTCTCAGTCTCCTCTTTTCCAGGCGAAACATAACCAGCTCCTTCAAGGCTCCTCGTAAGCCTTGGTTTCCAGACCCTTGATCATCTTGGTCGCCCTCCTCTGCACATGTTCCAGCTTGTCAACATCCTTCTTAGATTGTGGTGCCCAGAACTGGACACAGGACTCCAGGTGTGCTCTGACCAAGGCCAGCACCTGGATCTGGAGACTATACTTGTGCTGATGCAGCCTAGAACCAGGCTCTTCTTCTTTTTGCTGCTGCATCCCACTGTTGACTCCTGTTCACATTGTGGTCTACAAAGACCCCTAGATCCTTTTCACATATACCACTGGCAAGCCAGGTGTTCCCAATCTTATATTTGTGCCTCTGATTCTTCCTGCCTAAGTGTTAAGTACAGAACCTTATATTTGTCTCTATGGAAATTCTTTTTGTTATGTTTGGGCCCAGTTCTCCAATCTGTTATGATCATGTTGTTGTTGTTTAGTCATTTAGTCATGTCCGACTCTTCATGACTCCATGGACCAGAGCATGCCAGGCACTTCTGTCTTCCACTGCCTCCCGCAGTTTGGTCAAACTCATGCTGATAGCTTCGAGAACACTATCCAACCATCTCGTCCTCTGTCATCCCCTTCTCCTTGTGCCCTCCATCTTTCCCAACATCAGGGTCTTTTCCAGGGAGTCTTCTCTTCTCATGAGGTGGCCAAAGTATAGTGGTGCCCCACAAGACGAATGCCTCGCAAGACGAAAAACTCGCTAGACGAAAGGGTTTTCTGTTTTTTGAGTTGTTCCGCAAGACAAATTTCCCTACGGGCTTGCTTCGCAAGACGAAACGTCTTGCAAGTTATTGCGAGTTTGTTTCCTTTTTCTTAAAGCCGCTAAGCCGTTAATAGCCGCTAAGCTGCTAAGCCGCTAATAGCCGTGCTTTCGCAAGACGAAAAAACCGCAAGACAAAGAGACTCGCGGAACAGATTAATTTCGTCTTGCAAGGCACCACTGTATTGGAGCCTCAGCTTCACGATCTGTCCTTCCAGTGAGCACTCAGGGCTGATTTCCTTAAGAATGGATAGGTTTGATCTTCTTGCAGTCCATGGGACTCTCAAGAGTCTCCTCCAGCACCATCATTCAAAAGCATCAATTCTTTGGCGATCAGCCTTCTTTATGGTCCAGCTCTCACTTCCATACATCACTACCGGGAAAACCATAGCTTTTACTATACGGACCTTTGTTGGCAAGGTGATGTCTCTACTTTTTAAGATGCTGTCTAGGTTTGATCCCCTTCATGATCACTCTGAGAAGCTATGAACTATGCCGAGCAGGGCACCCAAGATGAACAGGTCATAGTGGAGAGTTTTGACCAAACGTGATCCACCTGGAGTAGGAACCGGCAAGCCACTCCAGTATCCCTGCCAAGAAAACTCCATGGACAAAGACAACAGGCATATAAAAGTTATGGTCATATTGAATCCCGATTCTGTCTTCTGCGGTACCAGCTACCCATCGCTGTTTGGTGCCATCTGCAAATTGGATGAGCAACCCCTCAATTCCTTCATCCAAGGCATTTATAAAGATGTTGAATAACAGTGGGCCCAGGGCATGTAGAGACCTCACACACATTGATATCTTGCGTTTGGGCTTCTTGTGAGCATCCAGCTCACCACAGTGGGAACACAATGTTGGACTTGATCGGAAAGCACTGCTGGGTGAGGCATAAGTTTTAACCATGGCAGGTTCCCATGTATGGTAACTGGAGGCAGAAATGGGCTTGGAAAGAAGATGGCACTGTTTTTATGGCGCATAAGACCAGCACATCTTATGGTAGAAATTAAAACACGGCAAAGGACACCTACATGGGCTAGTTGTGTTTCATCAGCAGGTTAGCTAATGAAATGGATCTATCAGTGCTGTGCCAGTAACAATGTGATAATCAACAATACTGGTGTGATTTAAAAAAATTCTGGCTTAGTGAAGGGAAATCTATTTTGCCTCATGTTTCTTGAGAAGCAGAATAGAAAATCAATAGTATCCTGGAAAAGAAAATGGCTGAAGAAATATTTTGGCTGCTTACTCAGACAACCCGTAACCACTTTTCCCATTTAAAAGCTTGCCATATGACGTCTTCAGCCACTGAGAGGCAGCCCTTCCTAGTTTATGCCCATGTGGGAACCCAACATGATCACATCCCCACAACCACATGGAAACATGGGAGGCTTGGTAGTCACTGAGTCACTGACAGGCAGATCTAGGTATTATAAATATTTTTCAGTGACCAAAATGAACATGGTTGTCAGTCTCTGCTGAAGGTACAATTACACTTCAGCAGCACTTGTTGAACTTCAGACTCGATAGTTTATAGAATTGTAGAGTTGGAAGAGAACCTGAGGGTCATGTACTCCAACCCCCTGCAATTAAGGGATCTTTTTGCCCAACGCAGAGATCGAACCCACAACCCTGAGATTAAGAGTCTCATGCTCCACGGCATGGGAAGGCAAACTAAGGCCCACGGGCCGGATCAGGCCCAATTGCCTTCTGGATCCGGCCTGCGGACGGCCCGGGAATCGCCGTGTGGATCACCAGCGTGCGCGTTCTTTCCCTTTCCCTCACACGACGGCGGCAGCACCTCCTCCCTCCCTCCCTCCTCCTGGCTTCTCCCCGCCCTGCCTAGAGGAGGAAGGGGGCTGGGCTTTGTTGTGCCAGCAGCAGCAGCAGCAGCGCTCGAGCGGGCACCATTTTAAGCAGCCCCTCTCCAGAGTCCTTTTGTGCGCCGACCATTGTCCCTCCGCCGCCGCTGCCAGCCCCTGCCGTTCGTAAGACACAGGTAAGCAGCCACCGGGGCTCGTGGTGCACTTGCATCATTTCCCCTCCCCCCATACAGTCCAGCCCCCCACAAGGTCTGAGTCCCAGTGGACCGGCCCCCTGCTGAAAAAGTTTGCTGACCCCTGCTCTACGGACTGAGCTGTCCCAGGTCAACTCCATGAAGGAACTCCAAGAAGGATAATGGGATTGACCTTGTATTATATGGCTGTTGTGAGGATTATAAAGCACTGTACAGGAAACACTTTGAATAGTTCAGTGCACGGTACAAATGTTTGTTTTCATTCATTTATTAAGACGACAAACCATAAGGTGAACTTGTCACTGGCCCAGCTCACTTTCATTCTGTAGCGTCTTCATAGCCAAACCCCAGAGGGTCACACTGGAGAAAAATGGTCCTTCACTGTTTCTGTATTCAGCAGAAGACGCACGACTACTCAGCTCACTGCTGCAACCGCTGCCCAGTGTAGCCATGGAAGTGTGAGTCATGGAATTGCCTTCAGATTGCAGAGGTTCCTCCTCAGGGGGTAGATCCACACCTTTATAATAGCATGTCCGATTAGGTCTTTGCTGAGATTTGCAGAGTTTAACAGGATCCAAGCTCAATTTCTGTTGGTTCGCACACTCATTCTGTTGCACGGTGGGTCGCGCCTTGCGGAATGTTGCCCCAGGGCTGTCAAATTCAGTGGTCGAATTTCCGTTTGGGTGGATGGGAAACTTCACTGACACTGGCAATAAAGTTACGGATATTTCTTGGGCAAATGAGTCTGAGCTCTGGGGCTTCTCAAGTTCAGATATTTCTACTGTCTGGGAAAAGTCATCCAGTGTATTTGGACCACTGTTGCCAACTTTGCAATGGATTTTTTTGTGCCGACGCAGGACAGCAGAGCGACTAAAGCCTTTATTGCAGGTCTCACAGTTATACGGTTTTTCCCCAGTGTGAGTCCGGATATGTCGCCGTAAGTCGCCAGACCCCACAAAGCATTTTCCTGTAAAACAAGAAAGGCTATTTGGAAATGGCATCTCCCAACAGGTATCAGTTGTCTTGTGCATGTGTTACAAATGAATAATTATCATGTCTAAAATACACCGTTTGTATTTATTGGAGTTTGCTGTTACCTGGGTCCCATGTGCTGTTAAATGTGTCCAATTGATGGCATACGCAATAGGTTATAGGAACCTGCTTTTTTTTATTAACACTGCGCTGTCCATCAATTTTACACGTGGTGGAGCATTAATTATTTTGCCCATGAATTATTCCTTAGTTGAAATAATGTATTGTATATCTTTCAGTAACAGATATTACTATTAGATAACTGTGGGATGTATTCAACACAGCACTAAGTTAAAGTCATTCAGGAATATTATATGATGATGATGATGATTAAAATTTGTATACCACCCTTCATCTGAAGACCCCAGGGTGGTTCACAACTGAAAAATACAAAATAAGAATACAAAATACATACTGAAAACCTTCCTTCCTCAGTATAACAATACAGATGTGAAGAGTTCACCAGGATCAATAATACTTCCCGCTTGAAAGTGCGTAACACCTACAATACTGGTGTGTGGGTTCTAACTGACCCTACCATCACTGTTGCAACCGCAGACATGTATCCTATCCTTTTCCTGGATATTTCTGCTCCAGGCAAGCTGACTACACTTCTAGGATCATTCCAGAGTTCAATGGCCTGTAGACGCATGTCTGCTAAGGAGATTCATCTTTCTGAGCAATCACTCTAACCAATAGCTACTGTATTGGTTAAATGGCAGTAGCTTCTGTATAGAGAATGTGGTAAATTTATTCCGCTGGTGAAATGTTGTGTGTGGAATGCTGTTGCACAAGAGAATGTGTAAGCAAGCTACTGGTAGCTTTGTGTACAACTCACTGTTGCACAATGAGTTTCCAATAACCACAGTTTGGTTGGAGTCCTCTGTTGTACAACACTAAACTCACCTGTCTTCTAATGCAGAAGCCCTTGCGCCAGAAGGCAGCTAAGCTTGCATGCAGCCCTATTGGGGATGGAATTATTTTTATTGTTTAAGCCAAAGCGAAGAGGCTATCATAGGTGGCAAATTCCACGAGAACAAAACATTGCCAAAGCAAAGTCTTATGAATCCGGGGGGGGACGGGACGGGACGACTGCTGAATTCGTTATTTCCGTGCTCAGAAAACCCACAAGAGCAAGAAAGAAGCACTTGCAACCATTTATTTTGTTTTTTTCCAAATTGGGCATGTCCCACTACACTTTGGAAAAGGTGGCTTGTTTTATCTTTAAAGTGGCAATTTGTGGGGGTGATAAATTACATTTTTCAGGGGAGCAAACTCTTATCGGACAGAATGCTTGGTTTAATGATTATTTTAACTGTGTAATGTATTTTGCTCTGTTTTATGCATTTTATTTTTTGGCTACACAAATAAATGATATTCCTATATATAAATTGAAGCACAGACTTACCACAAGCAGAGCAGCTGTACGGTTTCTCTCCAGTGTGTCTGATCCTGTGCTTTACTAACTTTCTGGGCATGTTAAATGATTTTCCACATTCATCGCAGGTGAACACCTTCTCAGCTCTATGGTTCTTCTTGTGTTCCTTTAAATTGCTGAAGTTACTAAATCCTAGAAGGACAGAGACACAGGAGGGTTGCTCACAGGGTGCAAGCCACAAAATGGCTCCATTACGCCGATGCAGCTCTCGGACATATGGGATGTCAGAAGCCCCTTGGACTGACAGGTCTGCTCCTACTAGTCATGGCACAAGATTGCCAACTGCTGCAGGCTAGCAGGACCATGATTCCAGTTATGGGTGGGGTTTGCTTGGGCTGAGGAGAGACACACCAAGTAGGGGAACCTATGCCACATGGTATATAAGGTAAAGGTACCCCTGCCCGTACGGGCCAGTCTTGACAGACTCTAGGGTTGTGCGCCCATCTCACTCAAGAGGCCAGGGGCCAGCGCTGTCCGGAGACACTTCCGGGTCACGTGGCCAGCGTGACAAAGCTGCATCTGGCGAGCCAGAGCTGCACACGGAAACGCCGTTTACCTTCCCGCTAGTAAGCGGTCCCTATTTATCTACTTGCACCCGGAAGTGCTTTCGCACTGCTAGGTTGGCAGGCGCTGGAACCGAGCAGCGGGAGCGCACCCCGCCGCGGGGATTCGAACAGTCGACCTTTCGATCGGCAAGCCCTAGGCGCTGAGGCTTTTACCCACAGCGCCACCCACGTCCCACCCATGCCACATGGTATATAGCTGACAACAATTTTGTCATCCAGGCCTCTGTGCACCCTGCCCCGTTCTGCCCTTTTAGTGACATGTTTAATGACATTTCCAAGTCACTTCTAGGTTTGGCGCTGCATGTGTGATGGTGCATCATTCTGACGTACGTTGATCAGTGGTTGCCTCTAGAGGGCTTGTGAATGAGGTCTATCCACAGACCAGGAACACTGGAAGCTGCCTTGCACTGAGACAGACCATTCTTCCATCTAGCTCATGCCTTATCTACACAGGTTAGAAGTGGCTCTCCAGCTCCAGGGAGGAAACTTTCCCAGCACCCACCTGGAAAAGCCAGTAACTGAATCAGGCACAATCTGCATGCAAAGCAGATGTTCCGCTGTTGAGCTGTGGCCCAATCCCCAACAATTACATCTCGAGGATATGCTCCAACTCACCTCGACCACAAATATCGCACAAGTGTGGCTTTTCTCCAGTGTGAATAATGATGTGGCGTTGGACATCTCCAGATGCAGCAAACCTGAAACAGGAATTTAAAAGGTCCCTTCAGTTTGGTTATAAACCTTATACAGTGGTACCTCAGGTTACAGACACTTCAGGTTACAGACTCCTCTAACCCAGAAATAGTACCTCGGGTTAAGAACTTTGCTTCAGGATGAGAACAGAAATTGTGCGTCGGCAGCAGGAGGCCCCATTAGCTAAAGTAGTACCTTAGGTTAAGAACAGTTTCAGGTTAAGAATGGACCTCCAGAATGAATTAAGTTCTTAACCCGAGGTACCTCTGTATGCCTTTTCACAGTTGTGCTTCTTATTCTAAAACTGAAAGTGTTGATAAAATCATCTGCACAAGTATGTCAGGCTTCCTAGGAGGAATTGCAGCGCAGCATCGATTTAGCACCTCCACATGGTCTGTCCTTTTCTGGCCCTCATGATGCCATGAATGGAAAGGGCCACGCCTGCAATTCCCACCAGGAGATGATGGTTCAAACAATCACATTCCTGCAGTGCTGTGAGCACATCAGTGGTTTGTCTCGCTCGAAGTTGACCGAATTAGAGCTATGTGTCACAGTGGAAGCTGCTACACTCAGCCCTCGATTATAATCAAAGCTAAAAGTGCTGGACAGATGCAGCTGTGAAATATAAAGCACCACCTCATGTCAGACGCTGCCAGAAATCTCCTGCAGATATCAATGTTAAAACAGTGCTACTGTGGACTGCTATTTCTCTAGCCAATCATTTAGACTGCATAACATTTCAACTACCGTATTTTTCGCCCTATAGGATGCACTTTCACCCCTCCAAAAATGAAGGGGAAATGTGTGTCCGTCCTATGGGGCGAATACAGGCTTTCGCTGAAGCCTGGAGAGCGAGAGGGGTCAGTGCACACCGACCCCTCTCGCTCTCCAGGCTTCAGGAAGCTATCAGCAAGCCTAGGGACCCCGACAGGAAGTCGGGCCGGGCTCCCAAGGCTTGTGGAGAGCTGCCCGATGCCCGGGTTTCGGGCTGCAGGCTGCTGTCCACAAGCCGGAGCTCCCTAGGCTGCATCCTGAAGCCTGGGGTGTGCTGAGTAGCGCGCCCGGGCTTCGGGCAGATATCCGCAAGCCGTGGGAGACCGGCAGGAGTTCCGACCGGGCTCCCTAGGCTTGCGGATAGCAGCCTGTTCTGGGGGCTGGGGTCGGGGGAAGCTTGGGCTTCCCCCGCCCCAGCCCCACGCCTGGGGGGGAAATAATTTTTTTTCTTTATTTCCCCCCCAAAAAACTAGGTGCGCCCCATGGGCTGGTGTGCCCTATAGGGCGAAAAATACGGGTAACTCAGAAGTTGACATACAGTCTTGCTAAACGGAATGAAGCAATAACAATACTGTAGGTTTTTAACGATACAGTGGAATATTCTGGAGGCCCCGTTCGCATCTAGAAGCAAACGTAACTAGCGATGGCACGTCTGCGCACGCGCATGTCGCTTTTCGCCGCTTCTGTGCATGCATGTGATGTCATTTTGAGCGTAAGTGCATGCGCCGAAACCCAGAAGTAATGCGCTCCGTTACTTCCGGGTTGCCGCGGAGCGCAACTCAAACGCACTCATCCCGAAGCACATTCAACCCGAGGTACGACTGTATTGTTAAAAATGAAAAAGAAGAAAAGGAGATGCACAACCCCAACCTCCATGTATATATTGAGGATCAACAAATTCTAGAGCAGCTAATGCAGTAATGTAACAGACATCACATTCCCAAAGTGTTTGGAGGAATCAAAACGGCCAATGAGCTCAAGAACTTCTTTTTCTCAACTCCCACTCCGACCTCAACAAAAGACCTCCTGATGTCCTCAAACCCATTTCTGTGACTAGAAAACTGCATTCTGAGCAATTCCCTCCCAAACCAGGATCAAAAACCACAATTCAACCCTGTTGTGCAATTGTGGTTTGAAACCACCACATCCATTTGAAAAGGTTTAAGACAATGAGGAAGCCGCCATTAAAGGCAGACAAGTGTTGCACAGTTTGGCAGGCTGGGAACAGGACCCCCGAATGCATCCCTGTACTGTATCATAATAGTATTTATGAGCTCCACAGTTATAAAAACTTTTTACCACATGTCCACAAATAGAACAATTTTGTTCTATTTGTTCAAATTTTGTTCAATTTTGTTTTAAAAGAGATCTCTCAGGTTACAGCTCAGGCAATCCCACTGGAACTGCCCTTAGACCTGTGGGCATAGGACGGTATACAAGTTTAATAAATAATAATAATAATAAATAATAACTCTGAGACTATTATATATATATGAATAATATGGACCAATTAAGAAGTAAAGAATTAATAACACATCTATTAACAGCAGCTAGAACAGTAGTAGCCAGAACCTGGAAAACCTTACAATTAATGAATATTTATTGTTTTATCATTGGCATGGAATATAGTCTGGCAAACAGCTGTAATGGAAAAGTTGTCACAAAAATCCCAAGGGGAGTGGGAAAAAAAGATTATATTTACACTATATGGCATAATTTTATTAGATATACAAATAAAACAACACACGGGTGAGAAATACCTGCAACATATACTGCAATATGGTTTAGAACTTCTTAACGTAAATCAACAGCTCAGTGTGGCACTACTCATGAGCTCATTCCTATTATTCTATATTTTCCAAGTTGATTTATTGAAGAATTAATTGAACTGGTTTACTGTAAAGGTAAAGGTACCCCTGCCCGTACGGGCCAGTCTTGTCAGACTCTAGGGTTGTGCGCTCATCTCACTCTAGAGGCCGGGAGCCAGCGCTGTTCGCAGACACTTCCAGGTCACATGGCCAGCGTGACGAAGCTGCATCTGGCGAGCCAGCGCAGCACACGAAACGCCGTTTATCTTCCCGCTGGTAAGCGGTCCCTATTTATCTACTTGCACCCAGGGGTGCTTTCAAACTGCTAGGTTGGCAGGCGCTGGGACCAAACGACGGGAGCGCACCCCGCCACGGGGATTCGAACCGCCGACCATGCGATCAGCAAGTCCTAGGCGCTGAGGTTTTACCCACAGTGCCACCCACGTCCCGGTTTACTGTAACTACCTCATTATTATGTACTGTCCTGTAAAATAATATGTTTAGCATTTTACCCCCCCTCTAAAGACCTGTTTTCGGTCATGTTTTATGATTTATGTGTGCACAATTTTGTAACACAAAAAATAAATACACATTTTAAAAAACAAAAACGAAAGGCAAACCTTTTCCCACAGATTTCACAGATGTACGGTTTTTCACCCGAGTGCCGCCGTAAATGCGTTTGAAGATTACCTGCCTACAAAGAGAAGAAACACTTTTAGCAGCCGAACTAACCAAACAGGTGATATTGGTAAAAGTTTACGACTGGAAATGAGGATTGCACTTTACTGAACTATGACACTTCAAAAACAACGTCTTCTGCTAGTAGGATCAGTGCTGCTATTTAGACTACACTGGGGATCGCCAAACGTTTGGTCCAGCGGGCACATGTTGAATTTTGAGAGAATGCTAGGGCCTCCCCAGTCACAAAGTGGCTGCCAAGGGGGCATAACACAAAAACAGAACAAAAACAGTCATGCGGAAGCTTTGCCCATAATTCTGTTTCCATACAAGAAATTGCTGAACCCGTTTACAGCTGTTAAAGGCACAAGAACTCTTCCCTCCCTCCTCATTGTCAACCCTAAGCCAAGGCCTGCCATCCTGTTCCCTTTTTTATCTGGGAGCAAGCCCCATTAATCACAAAGACTTACTTCTGAGTAGACATGTAGGCAGTTGTAGCTCAAGTTAAGTATACTGTAAATTCTAAATGCGTGCCTGCTCTTTAACTCGCGCATGGAAGGAGACATGCCTAAGTTTCTGTGCAAAGTTTTCACATTTGCCTTTTTGGAGGAGAAAGATTATTTTTAACACCCACCCGCACCTCTCGTGTAGCAGTATTTGCAGGAAATAACTCCTAGGAACTACCATACCTCAAGCCACAGAAATATTCATTGTGGTTGCTAGAAAGGAAGGAAGGAAGGAGGAAGGAAAACTACGGAGATTCCCATGCTTGGAAAATGAACAAGTTCAATGAATGGAGGGGGAACAAGAGCAGTTTAGGAACCCAGAGATTCCTACTGCCTGGTGCCAAACCAACTCACATATCAATCACCGCTCTGCCTTCAGTCACTGGACAAAAACGCTGGCAGGCAGGAGCAGCCAGGCTGGTTTATTTCACAGAAATCACTTAGAAGGGTACCTACACGAGGGCTGACATATGTTTGGATTCTCCCAGACATTAATAGGATTTCAAAGGCAGAATTGATGTCCGGGGGAATTTCCGAAAGGTGGCACTTTGTCCTGGATCTTAGGCAAATCTATCTAAAAATTGTGGTTGGTATTTTATTTTATTTATTTTTTTGCAAACTTTGGGGTTTGTCTTTAAAAGCTCAACAATCTGGGGGCTTTCCCTAAAACTTTCCTCAACAACTTTCGGGCTGTCCTGGTTTTTACTTTTTGAAATATGGCAACCCTAATCTACATGTTTTGTTTCAGAATTTACTTTCTAGGAGGACTAGAGACTTACTTTTTTTAAAAAAAGTAAAGCTCAGAGTCTGGACCCCCTTCCCTGGGGCACCAATGAAGGCTTTTGCAGACACCGTGCCATCCGCAGGCACCAGGTTGATGATCCAAAGACGTAAAGGTAAAGGACCCCTGACAGTTAAGTCCAGTCATGAACGACTCTGGGGTTGCGGCACTTATCTCGCTTTACTGGCCGAGGGAGCCGGTGTTTGTCCACAGACAGTTTTTCATGTGGCCAGCATGACTAAGCCGCTTTTGGCAAACCAGAGCAGCACACGGAAATGCTGTTTACCTTCCCGCCGGAGTGGTACCTATTTATCTACTTGCACTTTGACGTGCTTTCGAACTGCTAGGTTAGCAGGAGCAGGGACTGAGCAACGGGAGCTCACCCCGTCGTGGGGATTTGAACCACCAACCTTCTGATTGGCAAGCGCAAGAGGCTCAGTGGCTTACATCACAGCACCACCCGTGTCCCTAGTCCAAAGACTAGAGGCTGGCAATTTTCTTGAGCCGAAAGAGGTACCAACATGTATTGTGTGTACACCAGAGGGGAAAACTCCCTGGCTCCTCCCTTACACCAGAGCATTATTGTGCTTTTATTTGAAGTTATGGGCAAGAAGAGGTTTCTCAATCTCTTACCTCCATTAAAAGCCCCTTGCTGGGACTTGTTTACCTCCTTTGCCATAGGGGAAGGGTCAGCTCTAGAGCAAGGGGACAGTGGCATCATTGTACCAGCTCTCAGAGCCCCAAGTCCAATTGCATGATCCAATCTGAATTCTGCTCAGAGCTTTGGGGTTTGAAACACAAAAATAATAAAAGGATCATATTTAGGACTGAGAAATTAGCTGGAGCTGGATTTCATGGACCTAATGTTTTTCAGACCTGGATATCTTGGATGACTAATGCTCTCAAAAACATCTCAGCATTAAGCTCAAGGAGGATGGGGATGGGGAACAGAAAAGTGTTGATTTTTAAAAAATATTAAAGAGATGGAAAACATTCTTCTCCACAGTTCCTACAGGACTACACATACTGCAGTGTGAGTGAGTGACCGTGGACTTGGTGGGTGGCGTGTCAACAAAAGGAGACTCAAACACCTACCTGTGAAAAACATTTGCCACAAACGTTACATTCAAATGGCTTCTCACCTAAAAGAAGAAGCAATAATGTTTTCTGCTGTACAGAAGTTTGAAACTGGCATATCAACAAAATTCGGAACAGTTGCCAGCAAACTATATTTTACAGTAAGCTACTTTGCTTAACTATAATGCATAAATGCCTGAGCACAGAATTTTCACAAAAGCTTGAAGAACAGCTCGAGAGCTGCTTCCCAATTAATGGCTTGTTGATTTTTTGCTCAACAGTACTAATTATTTCTGCAGGTTAAGATGCCTTGTAAAATTATTGACATGTATAAAAGTGAAAATCAAAAATAAAATAAGAAGAAGATCCCTCCATTTAATGATGAAGGTGGTTTGCCTCAGGCTGACACACATCACAGAATAGTGTCTCCTTAATAGATGTGATTGGAAATCTCTTCTGAACAGGAGAGCTTTGTGTGTGTGTGTGTGCACAGGAGCTTCAAGCTTCCACAATAAGTTAGAATGAAGGAAGCATCTTGAAGTCATTTTACAGCCATTTCCTTCCACATACACCAAGTAGTCATTTTGCTTTTTAACTCTTTGATCAACTGACAGGTCTGAATTCTGGCATTTCTCAGCCAAACAATAATCAGGGATTTCTGGTTCACTTATTATTTTTTAAAGAAATGATGCAACGCAAAATTTATGCATTTTTTGAAATATTTGCGCATCATGGTAAGCCATAATTAATGTTTACCCAGGAATGTGCAAATGGCTTTGGGTACTTCTTTGCAAACCAAAATCCTTGGCTTAGTGTTCTATATCCGAACCAGGGACTGTGATTTATTTCACTCCAAGCAAACTAGAACAAGAAGCCAAGGTTTGCTGTTGGCTTACCAACCAAGGTTTGCAGATAAACTACGATCACTGGCTTGGATGTAATGCTTAGCCAAGGATCGTGGTTTGTTGCTCCCACTTCCAGAAGGGTAATGCAGATAAATTATTTTACCGGATTGCTTTAGCAGTCACCTTCTAATCAACTCAACATTACTTAATTGTTTGAAAGCCCTAAGCAATTTCATATGCACTGGGCACAAAGCTAACCAGCTTTAAATTCCACTCACCTTGAGGGGGGGAAATAAGCACAGGCTTCACTTTTCTTTTGAAATCAACAGGCCCTCTCTGAGTGCTTATCCTAGCTTGAGCATACCATCTTTAAAATATTATGTACCTTACAAATAGTGCCTCACAATTACTTAGGTAATGGCTGGTATTCCTATCTTACGTTGTTTCTGCTTGCGGCACCTCTGAAAAAACCCCGTTAGGAAGCTCAATACTGTTGTTTTAGTAAGGTGTGACAGGAGGTGAGATGACTTACAACATGACATGTTTACTCAGAAGTAACTCCTACTGCATTTAATGGGACTTACAATTAAGTGGGCACAGAACTATAATCTTCAGCAGCCTTCCAAGTCCCCTGGGAAGCTGGGATTTGCAGGCAAGCCTCCCTGATCCTAAAAACAGCCCCGCGTCTGGTGGGATGATCTGTTTCCATAAGCATTTTAGCCTCACTGTAAAAGTGACAGAGTCAGATCACACTGGCAGAATGGGAAAAGGAAAATATAGGAAGCAGCATTTTTTTACAAACTGCTATCTTTTCCTTTGCAATAGTTTTCTTTTGCAGGTGTTAATAAACATAAATATCAGACACAGACTAGCCATCACGTTGCTTTTATAAGGGACACACATAACTATATGGCAAAGATTAAATATACAGCCTGGTTTTCCACTGAAAGCACATTTGATGGGCTGGCCTTACCAGAGTAGCAGGTGCCCTGTGCCCTTTCAGCTGCAAAGACTAGATTCTATCTGCCTTTTGGTTTTGTAATTAATAATTAGCCTAGAAATGTCAATGACTGTACCTGTATGAGACCTTATGTGCAGCTCCAGATTGCTCGGGTGCTTAAAAGCTTTCCCACACAATGAACAAGGATACTGCCTCTCCGGCAGGAAAGTCGGTAACTGGCCACCTGCCTCAGAAGCTTCCTGAGATGCCTCAAGTTCAACATTTTCCTCCAGGCATTCTGAACTCACTAGACGTTTAACTTCTTTTCCTTCAGGAGCATCAGCATTTGCCCTTTTTGTGCTGCTTTGGCTTTCCACCTCACTTTCCCTTGCAAACTCTCCATCAGCAATTTTAAGCACAGAAGATTGTTCGGGGGCTTTTGAGACCTTAGAAAATTCAGTTTTTTAAGATGTATGGCCTTTTTAAGCCTCATCTCTTTGACTGGCTGTAAAGATGCGCCTTCCGATTCTTGATCCTCGGGACACTCATTTAAGGGCTGAACCAGAAAGTTTGCTGGTAAGTGATCAGGTGATTCCAAAACACATTCAGAAGGACCAATAGTGCAGGGTGGTGCATTTTTGGCCGGGCTTTCTTCTGCGGAGGGACTGAAATCAAAAGATGGCTCTGCTGATCTCCTGTTGCTGGGACAAGTGGTTTGCTTGTAGAACTGTTTGCTATAAAAGTTACGGAGTTTGTAATGACAATTTGGCTGTTTAAGTGAGGGATCTGTGCAATTAGCCTCCACGGAACCCTGTTTCTCTTGGTTTCCATCACCAGATGAGATGTGAGGTGAAACAGGCTGCGGCCCATGTGGGTTATAGTTATCCAAGACTTTACATGGCTCCACAGTCGATGAACCTCCACGCAGTAAACTAGCGCCATAACTCTCCCCATTTGTATCTTCAGCCAAAGCGTTTTGCAAGGAGAAGGCACTGCCGCAAGGCACACCGACTGGCTGCTCGACACCCGTGGGGCTTTTCAAAAAGGTGCGGCACATGTTCAGAACATTCTGCACCTGCAGACACTGTGCAATATCCAATAACGTTTGCACATTGTCCTGATTGAGTTCAAGATGAGATGTATACATGTAGTCCAAGATCTGGCCAATGCCGCCGACATTTTTAATATCCAAGTACAACACATCATTCTTCTGACCTGAGGAATTTTGGAACAGGGTCCTAGGAGAGAAAAAGCACAAATCTTTAAAATGCATACACATATTTAAAACGGCCAGTCCTCAGCAAAAATATATGAATAATATAGTAATTTAGGCTACAACACACAAACATTCTGGATGCTGTAGGAGCCAACTCCTAGGGGCTGGTGGGGGGTGTCTTTGCCCCTAACAAAATATTTGAGGGGGCTGCCCCCCCCCAGGTTGATGGGCATTGCCATTCAAATGGTGTGTGTGAGCCACATCATGTGACTGATTATGTGGGGCAGGGTTTACCTGCCCCCATATTTTATTTAAGTTGGCACCCCTGTTGTACTGTAAGTATTTTCAGAATCTAGTCAATATAATTATCAGTCAATCCATCCATCCATCGTCAGTTCTCACATACAGTGACACACACACAGAGGAGTGTGTCAAAAGTGTGTGGGGCCTCATTGGGATTGTGAGAAATCTCCATGTTTATTAACCAGTGACATCATATGTGCCAAGCATTGATGTCTGGCCCAATTTCCATGTCTACACTTTTCACTTGTTTCCTAGACCTGTGTGTATCAGCACAACTACTTTATAAGAAAAATAACACTCCTATATATTTCTGGAACACAATTCTATACATGCCAAAGTTTGTGGCCTAAACTGCACTGTTAATTGCTTTCACTGAAGTGTTTTCATTAACATACCTGAAGTACTGGCTGAAAGCAGCTAACACATTTTTATGTGCTTTGAAACAAACACCTTTGACCACCAACATGCAGTCGCAGAGAAGGCCTTGAATGCGTTGCTCATGTAGCTGCTGAAGAAGGTGACAGCTGTGGCTCGCAACAGCATCCATGCTGGGATATGCCTTAATTGCCTAAAATAAAATAAAAAAGACATAGCATCTCAGGAAGCAGAGTTTTGTGTATACAGCGCACTGGCGTCAATAAAGTAATGTTTTATAATAGATTTACTACATGCAAAATGGCATATGTTAAATTACTTATAAAACAATTTCTTAATCCAAAATTTTAAAAGGTTTCCTATTTTACAAAATGCTGTCCATATGCAAACATAACAGAGCACTTGTGCATGCCTCTGACAAATGCTTAGAGAGAGATTAACAGCCATCTCAAATTCTTTCCCTGCCCAGCATTGATCCTGTGGGATCGTGGCGCTGCGCACAATGCAGAGAGACTGAACCAAAGGGTGACATTTTCAGCACTTACAAGGAAATAAAGTGCCACTAAATTAAACAGATGTGAGCAGGTGTTCGAGAGCCATGCAAGTTGCAATAAGGGAGGACAGAAACAATCCCGGCGAGCCTGGAAGTAATAATATTGCAGCGTAAGTCACTTAAGTACATTGCCAAAGCATAGTGCACATGCTTCTGGAGGATGGGGAGGCCAAGGGGATGTTGCCGAAAATTGGAAGGAGCAGCATGCCTACGACACGTTGTGGAACCAGTCCTGCGTCAATGAGTAGCAACAAGGGCGGCAATATTTAATCAGCGAAATGGTTAGATGCACAATTTGAAGAGCCTTTTACTCAACTAAAAGGATATTCCCAATTAATTTTAAAGTATCTATTTTAAGGACAATCGCTTCTAAGAAGTGCAGATGACAGGCACTGTTTCAAAAGAGGAGTCTCCTGTTTTCCCATGCAGGGAAGTCAGTGAGTGTGCAGCAGCACACCTCAACTAGCGTATAGCACATGGCTAACATTTCAGGAGGAAGGTGGACATTTGCAGCTGCCTTCAGGTCTCCTCCTGTGAGGCAGGAATAAGCCAATATACATGTGGACTGTCCCTGGATCAAGTGACTTTTCTTCTTGCAGTTCTTGACGCTCTTAACCCAGCTCAAGGTTGTCATCTGAACCACCCAAATATTTAACTGATAATCAATGATACCTTCAGTCCATCATGGGGGAGGGGGGGAGAGCAACCTTGTCCCAAAAATGGCAACATTCCATTTTGGCAACTGCAACCTTGCTTTAAGGTTTAAAGGTTTTTAAGGTTTAAAGGTTTAAGGTTTTTGCTTTAATTTGGCACTGAGCTTATACAGTGGACGCTCGGGTTGCAAACGTGATCCATGCAGAAGGCATGTTTGCAACCCGCAGTGCTGCGTCTGCGCACACGCGGGTTGCATTCGGCGCTTCTGTGCATGTGCAAAGCGCGATTTAGTGCTTCTGTGCATGCGCCAAAATCCGGAAGTAACCCGTTCCGGTACTTCTGGATTTTGGTGCGTCCGTAACCCGAAACGCACAACCTGAAGCGTCTGTAACCCAAGGTATGACTGTATACCTGAGTTTCTAACTCTGCCCACAGGGTCTCTGCCCGAGATCCCAAGATGTTTAAAAACTGAAATTGGCAAACGAGAGTTTGCATGACAGCTAAAAATGCGCCTGTGCATTGTGAGTGATGGGACAGGGGTGGGGGTGGGGATGCTAGAGAAGGGAGGCAAGTTGTCTCATCCTTCAGTTCTCTGCAGACTTAGCTGAACATTTGTTTCACTGCACCTAGCAAGTCTCACTGCCCGGTAAACACGCACAGGTTTAGGCTGCAGGTAAGGCGGGCAGGCACCTGTTTTCCTCGCCTCTGCTCCTGCGCCTTAACGGCAGCTCTCCACGACTCTTCCACTTCCCGGTCACATTTGTCCAGACTTGATGCTGCTGCTGCTGCTGTGGCAGAGCCTGTTTTGTGCATCGCTTGTCAGCATTTTAATGCCATCGCCCAGGCGAAGGAAGCTTTCCTCGGCACCTGAGCGGCATGCCAGGGCAAAGCGCAGCCCGCACCTGGCATTTGCCCGGCAGTGAATCTGTGGCGGGCAGCGGCGGGCTTTCAGGTGGCACCCCAAAGTCGAGGCTGGAGCTGCCCTGAACACCAGACCTCGGCGGCTCCTCGCCGGCTCTCCTCCTCAAGGCAAAATCCTCGCAGGCATTGCAGGCGAGAGCGAGCGGGCAGGCGGGATCTTGGTCGGCAGCAGCTTCCTGTCGCGTCACGGCGGCGGCCCCTTGGGCAGACTCGGGCATAGACTCCCGCCTGCCCAGGCTCCCGCAGTCAATGGCGCGCAGCCTCTTTGCAGGCTGCTGCTTTGTCGGGAAGGGATTTCCTCTCTCGGCTCCTGCTCCCCCGGAGCAGGGGAGCCTCCCAAGGGCCTTTCGCCGAGTCCCTCTGGCTCGGGGCTGCCTCTCCCTCCCCCGCGGGCTGAGCCCCGGCCCTTCCGCAGGCCAGAAACCCAGCAGCGCCCGAGGGCCTGGGAGAGGCTGGCCGTGTTTAAATCGAGGAAGCACTTGAAGCTCATCAAGGCCCTTGTCCGGCTGGGCAGGAGCGAGAGCTGCCCATTAGCAGCGGAGAGACTGTCTATATAAAAGGTCGGAGCAAAGAGGGAAATCCGTGTTCTCTGCTCTTCGAGTGAACTGCATTTCTTTTTGTTCTGGGGGGGGGGGGTTGAGCGAGAGATGACTCTTCTTACAGTCCGTTGAGGCTGCGTGCAAAGTCTGCAGGCGCTGGGGGGGGGGGCGCCGCGGAGCAATTTAAGCGGGTCCGCTGGCCGCATGCAGGGCTGGCAGGGTTCTCGGCAGGGTACTTTTGGGGAGTGAAAAAAGTCCGCCCTCTTCGTGCCGGGCCTGCACTGCAGGGGTGTCGCCGCTCTCCCCCCAGCCTGCGGGGCTTCAGCCATGGCTGGCGACAGAAGAACAGCTGAACGGGACCTCCTCGCTGCTCCTTTGCTGTATTTCTCAGGATTTCGGCCTCGCCCTGGTCCGCAACTGGCGGCCTTAGTTGCAGACCGGACCTAAGCTGCCGCCTCTCCCTCCCTGCTGTCAATGCACGGGCATACGAAATGTGATTTAGAATAAATGTTTAGGGCTTTGACTCTTCCTCCACCCCCACGCCCATTTTAATTGTAAAATCAGCCCTATGACTCTTTGCTAATAATCACAGCTGCGGCGCTAAGGTCCTGTGCGTCTCCTTTAAAGGTTTTCGACATCAACCCGGAAGTTGGTCTTGGCGTGTGAGTCTGCACGCTGTAAGTCTACGGCTACGCGCGACCTCCTTGCCCATAGAGATGCTGAGGGCTAGAGCGCGCCGCTCTTCCGCCCTTGCGGGCGTCGGGGGTGTTACTCTCGACGTTTCTCTCTCTAGGCCTGAGACGTTCAAAGGAGTCGCCGGCGGTGTCGTCACAGGTGCGCGACGGAGCGGAGGGTGGCGCGCCGGAGGCGTCGCTGCAGCCCGAGGGGAGCGACCCGGCGCGGGACCACCAGCCATCCTTAGCCGGTGAGTTCCGCCGCTGAGCCCCTCTCGGCCCTCAGGACACCGTTTCGGTTTCTAGATCCGCGGCTGGAACGGCGAGTGTGTGAACGCGGCGAACACGTGTCTCCCGCGAGGCAACGCTAGTCCGCGAAACGGCGGTAAGTTGCGCTTCCTGGCAAAAGTGGCGTCGGCGGCGAGTCCGGGTAAACGGATTATAGCCTGTATCCGCTTTTATGCTTTATTTTAACAGGCTATATAACGATATGTATAACTTACGTATCTATCATCTATCTTTATATATATATATATATATATATATATATATATATATATATATAATTCTAATCAATGTTTAATTGATTTTTAATAGTTTCCCCTCCCCTCATGTTTAGATGCACTTATTTTTATCTGTAAGCATTCTTGAGTCCCCTGTCGGGGGAGGGGGGAAATGAGGTATAAATACATTAATGATGATAATAATAATAATAATAATAATAATAATAATAATAATAATAATAATAATATATGAAACAGCAGACCCTATTTTTTGCCAGCTGCTCCTCCAGATTTCTGAGAAATCATATTTGGTTGGCTGCTTGTGAAATAGCATACTTGTTTGTGTGTGTGTTTTCTGCCAAAGTACCTGGAACAGTTACAGTTTTAAAATACTCCCTCCCCTAATGGTGCAAAATATAAAACAGAGTTCTCTCCATTTGATGGGTGGGTCCTTTCCTCTGGGCATGCAGTTCTTTTGGTAGTCCAAAGGATCTGCCCCCCCATTCCCTCAAGCCCTTAAGAAATTTTGTTCCCATTCTGAATGTATTTGTTGCTTACAATAAATACCAGCATGCCTGGAATCATTAATGTTAATGGACCTGGGTATATAGTGCTATTTATGCAGTGCTAACTTAATAGTTTTGTCTTTAATGCTCCGCAGGGTGTTTAAATATATTTTTATTGTATCAACTTCTGCTTTGTTAGTCCTGCCTTTTTAAAAGGACATGTAAAACACTATTTTTAATTAATTTCTAGAATTTGTTTGAAGAGGATCAATTCTAACAGTCTCTGAAGAAAGATACTGCTATCTTGGAAGAAATGGTGGTTTTCACATGTAACGCATGTGGAGAGTCTGTGAAAAAGGGACAGGTTGAAAAACATGTAATTGTGTGCCGCAATTGCCAATGCCTTTCTTGCATGGATTGTGGTAAAGATTTCTGGTAGGTTATCAGAGTCTTGTTTCATTATTTGGTGGTGACAACCCATTGTTATTGCTATTATTGTTTGTATCCTGCCCTTCCTCCCAAGGAGCTCAGTGCAAAAATCTGCAATGAAACTGGTTTGGTGTGACAAGAACAAGTGGGCACAAGCCTTAGACCAACAAATCCCCTTTGAATGTTGAGAGGTGTCAGTCACCTGACGTTATGGTGACAGTCCTGCCCACCTGTCATAAGTTACTATATGGAGGGTGGTGGACTGATGGGTCCAGCCCACTGGTTGGATATAGTGTTCCACTCCTGAGTAGGATGGTAAAAAATGCAAAGGGATGCCAAAAATGTCTTCTTTAAAAGTTGAAGCTAATGCATAAAAAATTAGTAAAGTCATCATAAATAGAATCGTTTAAAGAAAATAAGAGTAGCAGAATAAAATCTGATTTACAGTAACAAGATCACCATAAAATAAAAGCACCTGCCTGGCCATGCAAGGTGGAACCCTCAAGAAATCTCAAAGGGTGAAGGCAGTAGCCTTTGATTGTACAAGAAATGGCTGAAGAACGTTTGGCTGTCTAAATGCATTCCCATTCCAGGGAAGCAGAGACCTTCGTGTTACTGAGTGCTTGATTTGGCCTGGGAGGAAGTCTGAGGTGGCAAGTAGATTTGACCTTTCCTGCAACCTGAGAGAGATGGGGGATTTATGACTGGGAAGCCAAACTGAACTGTTCTCTTGCCTGTAGTGGGCTATATTGCAAAATGCTGGAAACTACTCTCTCTCGGCACCCGCAGCCTGCAACAGGATATAACTGTGAACTGCACTGCAGGGTTAATTTATGCTATTTTCTCAGTCACGCTGATGTGGGATAAAGGCAACGGATGACATTACAGGATTCTATGTGGATATGCAAGCTTTTGTGCTATTGCTGCACAACTTGGCAAATGGTGGATTCTGCTTGGATTTTAATTCTAAGTAGTGCTGTTAATTGAACATCTATGTAAAACGTGAACAGTGGTACCACTAGAATAATAAGAACTACTGAAGCCGAGAGGTCTCCAAATGATGACATTGACCTTAATGCTGACCCGACATTCTTCTGACAGTTTTGCCCCTGTAAATAAAACCTTTTTGTTTAAAGAAGCAGCTGCGCATAAGCCCAAACTTATTTTAAAGCACATGAGTTACTGAATTGATGCCCCGTGTGTGACTTAATTTTATGTGCAGCCTAATCTTCTGCGGAGTTAATTGGCATAATCCCATATAAGGATTAGACATGCTTAGCTCTATATAGAATTGCAGGTCAGCTTCTGCCAGTCATAGTTCTTTCTGGATTAGCTTGACCCGTGGCTTCTCTGGGAATTAAGGCTGTTCAATATATCCAGAGCTGAAATCTTCCTACTGTGCTATAAGTGTTGTGCTATAAACTAATTTTAAGATGTATTTTAATTAATTGATTGCCTGTTTTTATGTTCTTTATATACTGTGTTAGTTTTATGATGTTAGCCACCCTGAGCCCAGCTCCTGCTGGGGAGGATGGGGTACAAATAAAATTACTATTGTTGTTATTATTGTTGTTATTGTTGTTACTACTACTACTACTACTACTACTACTAATATGGCTTTTTACCTATGTTGTTCTTAATATTTAAGGGGTGATGATTATAAATGTCATGTGAAGTGCCTAAGTGAAGACCAGAAATATGGTGGCAAGGGTTATGAAGCCAAAGCTCACAAAGGAGATGTCAAACAGCAGGAATGGATTCAGGTAAAAATAAGTGCACACATAAGCAGGGTAATAACACACTTAATTTACAGGGAAAGCTGTGTACTGATTGTTTGTCCCTTTTCCCTTTCAACCAGTGGTCTCTGAGGCAATTTATACCTCAGATCAAAACAATACAAGAATACATTTAAAAATCAGACAATAAGAAAACCCACCAACACTACATATGATTATCTAACTTCACCCATCAAATGTTTGGGGAACGGGACACCTTGCAGCAGGCGCACACTGAATGCAAGAGTAGATGCCAGCTTGTTGGTTTGAGAGGGCGTTTCATAGTCAGAGGAAAGCCCTGTTTCTGCCCATCTGACAGAAGAGAGCCTTGGCTGACAATCTCAGCTCATGGGCTGGTGCAGTCCTTCAGATACTAAAGTCACAGGCCATTCAGAGCTTTTAACCAAAACCAGCACTTTGTTGGCTGCCATGTTCTGAAGCATTTGAAGTTTCTTAATTGATGGTTGCTATTCCAGCAAGAAGCAATACGTTTCATACCAGCCCCGGTTGGCAAAATGCATTCTTAGTCACATGTCTCCAAACGTGAGACTATATTGAAAACACCTTCCAGCTACAGACTTGAGCCTTGACTAAATACAACCCCATTTTGAAAAGATTGTGTGTTCCCTTGGGGGTCACCACCTTAATCTTGCCCTGACTGAGCTTCACTTTATTAGCCCTTGCGCATCCCATTCCTCACTTGAGCTGCCTATGTTAAGAGTTTCCAGCCCCCAACCTAGATTTGATGAGAATGATAAATAATGCTGAGTGTCATCTGCATACTTAATAACCCTTCACTCCAAATGTCCAAACTACTTCACCAAGTGGTTTTGTGTAGATGTTAAATAGTATTGCAGTGTGTGTGTGTGTGTGTGTGTGTGTGGAAATGGAAACTAGATCCTTGTGGCACTTTGCAGCATAAACATCATGAGAGTGTGTGAACTAATACAGAGTTTTTATCTTACTCCTACTTCATGTGTTATCTAGCCAAAATGTAGTTGTAAAATGTCAATGTATTGATTGTCATAGGCGAGCTTTCAGGCTCCGTGTGGGCCATTGTTTTTATCTGCAGTGAACATAAACACCCCAGAAGCAATAACACAATTCCCAAACCTCCAGACCCTGAGGCAGACGGGGAAATGGACAGATTTAAACCTGCGATGTGTATAGCATACATCTGATTTCAGTGCATCAGACTTGTGATTAAAGTATGTTGTGTCTCAGATGCAATCATTCCCACTTTCCTTTTGTAGAAGATTCATCAAGCGATAAAGGAAACCAACATTAACCCCAAAGTTCGAGATATTTTGGAGCAGATGTATACCTATGACAACATTCCAAGAAAAAAGGGCAAGTTTCAGGTATGCTTAGAAGTAAACAGCTCAGACTGCAATTCTGTACTTGCTTACTTGTGAGCAAGCCCCAGTGATCTTGTTTCTGAATAGGACTTGTTTCTGAATAGACAAATATACTGTAGGAATTTTTTTTTAAAAGAATGAGGTTTCTTTATGAGAATGACAGACACGTTTCCATGAAGAGTGCATACAGATGACAGTCACTTGGGTGGCTGTTTGCCTTATCCATCCAAGTGGCGCAATATAACTTAGCTGCTGCTGTACCGTAAACACCAGTATGCCTGCCTGCCCACCTGCTAGATGGTAAGGGAATTTCTACAGGTCCCACAAGTTACACCTTCTGAAATTTCCTGTTTTACACAACTGTTAACAATGGTGGAACCATGCCCTCTTTTGCATATGGGCACCCTAATCTTATCACATATTATGCAGATAAGTGGTAA